TTTTTATTACCTTAATTTTTGTGAGTAGTGTATTAATTATAAATAAGTAAATTAATAAAAATGATAAACGATAAATTAATGAAATAATTAATATTATTTATAAGTAATAATTATCATATCAATTATCAAATTATTGTATCAATTTCTGATTAACAATGTATCAATTAGTCCTTTTTTTTGTTAAAATAATTTTTAAATATTTAAAATTCTTTAACTTTTAAACACAAAATAATAATAATAATTCAGTGATAATAATTCAATTCAATTCATAAAAGTTTGCAATGTTTCAACAATGTTACTTTATGACGTTATCACGTAAAACTATCATCCGTAAACTGACTTCGGTGTCAAAAAGATGACCTCGAATATTCATTTATTGACACATATAGTACGTGTTGTAAGAAACTGGGGTCCAATATGGGCCCATGAAGCCTTTATCTTTGAGGTTTGGAACAAGAGAATTATGGAATTTATAACCAGTCCTCATGCTCGGACGAACCAAGTCGCAAGACGTTTCTTAATGTATAAATTTATCATAACTTCTTTGTACGATGAAACAACTTCGCCGGAAACAAGAAAGTTCATTGCAAAACTATTAAAAATATCCATAGAAAACAATCGTGGTGATGTTAAGAATCGTATAATAGGCTTACGAAAGTGTATAACACGCTTACCTACAGAAAATGAACTCGCAGCTCTGGTAAATGCTGGATATGCGCCTTTAAATATGACATGTTACAATAAAATGACATTGAATGGAGTACGATATGAGTGCATTAATAAAGAAAAGACAAAATTTTGTAACTCGACAGTTTTTGGCGGTAATGACAGTTTTGGTAATATAACTGCAATAGTGAATTTTCATCATAATAATGAGACAATTGGTGGAATTATAATTCAGAGAATGAGACTAGTCAACCGTGCATTTGAAACTGAATATATTAATGAAGTAATGATATCTGATGAGATAATTTTTATTAAAGAATCTGAATTTATAAAACCAGCAATCCAAATTCTCACGTCAAGCCAACTATTTGTCATTAAACAAACAAATTGCTGGGAAACGGATTAATGATAGTAATATATTGAACTTAACAACGATATTTATATTAAAAAAAAAAATTAAGATAACATAATTCAATGCAATGCAGTTTCACTACTTCCGACCAAAAGTACTAGATAATTAATGTATATCTTGCAGGAAATACTTATCATACGAAAATAGCAGTAATGTAGCTCATTATTCGACTTCGAGATTTCCCACTTTGAATACATATTTATTTAATATTTTAACCTTTACATTTTGACTCCGTTAAAGAAAATTATTTACGAATATATTTCTTAAGTAGCTCAAGAAAGACAGTTTGTGATGATTCGATAACAAGTTCTTAGTATATCCATTAACAGTGATAAAACTGCTAATAACGAAAATATTTTACAACATTTTGTATATTATCAATCTAAAAAAATCTGTATCATAATTCATAAAAGTTCGTAATAATTTTAATCCGTATTTGTCTTTAATTTAAGGAGACTATACGCAATCATGAAATTTATATTTTAGTCAAATTTATCTATGAATTTATATAAATCTCCATAAATATCGGGATATCTTTTCAATTTCCGACCATTTGAAGATATAACATTGATAAATGTTGTTTTTAGACTATGCAGTTATTTGAAACTATTATCTTTAATAAGTATTAATTTATAAAGCCATAATTTATATACTTCAATTGTTTGATGGATAATGATATCGTCGATAAAAAACAGTTTTTTGGATAATTCAGAGATTATCTTCAGAGCAACTTTAAGATTTCATATTGTGGCTAGAAGACCTGATTCCAACTATACCATAAATACAAACATGTATTTAAACTGTGTATAAAGTTTCGTAACTATCACGTAGCAGATATAATTGGATATTAATCCAACAAAGTAACCGAACTCATCATATTTATTATCCGAGTAATTATTGTGATTAATAAATCTACTAGCTTACTTGTTAATATGTAAATAGACATTAATTTTCCTATACTTTGTTAACATATGAAATTAATATTAAATTTAATGAACTACAAGAAGATTTGTTTTTTCTCATTTTTCAAATCCTTTAAACTTCTTTTTATCCTTACATTAACGTTATTATAAAGTATACCTTCACAGATGTCATATATATAATAAATATTTAAGCTGTTTCAAGATTTCTTATTTTAATACCAATGAAGCATTTATCTTTTTTTAAATATTTTTAAAAATTTTAAATGTAACAACCGTTTTAAAACTCGATTCGGTAACTCTTTTTTTTTGTTTAAAAAGATCAATAAATATTAGTCAAACCTAGAATTTAGTCCATTTTTTTCAATGGAATAAGACAGCAAAATGAAATGACCGACTTGTTATAAAATTATGTTGAAGTAGTAGTTGGTTTATGCATGATTCAACAATGTTTTTCTATTATTTAATTTTTTTCTTAAGAATAAAACTGATGAAATTTACGAATTAATTAATAAACAAGTAATTCAAAATTTATTGCAATAAAAATTTTTGGTAACAATTCCATTTCTTAAAATCCTAAATTTTTCTCCACTGATTCACTTCAAATCTACAAGCAAGATAAGAATTCAGTAAGTATACTTAAAATATTCAAGGACTATTCTAATGTGAGAATTCATTCAAATGTTCAATGACACCTCTTAAGTTTTTAAAAAGTTGTAATTTTTTAGCAAAAATTCAGTAATCTCTTGAAATCAAATAAATTAATGGTTTTGTGAATGACGTTCAATGGATTTTCGAATCCAAAAAGCTCCATCAATTACTCAATTGTTGCTTGGCTTATAATTATTAAAAGAAGAAGTCAACAGTTAATATTGATTTGTTATCTTCCGTCTTGTAGAGAAATGTATATTATGGGACATTTCATACGAAATCGTCCATTTTTTTAAGTAGATCGTTCCGATTTGTTCTCAATATGTAATGTGTGTTTGAAGCTAATTGAAAACATGCCTATGAATTTTTTTAATTTTTTTTAATGTCCTCAGAAAAAAAAATAATTTTATTCAAAATTTTTTATTTATCATTTTTTTTACTTATTGAAAAAAAAGTCGATTGTCGAAACTTTAAAAAAAATCTTCCAGAGTACTTCGATTAATTTAAGAACTTTTGAGCTCTATCCAATCGTGAGTGAACGACATTTAGTTCGATTGTTTGTGAAATTTTTTTCTCTTTCGTTTGGTCTTAAAATTTTTTCATTTTGCTAATTGCGTTCCAATATTTAACAGTGATTTTTTTTAATCCAACCATAAAATTTTACAAATTCAGAAATCTATATATAGCTAGACTGATAATCTAAGAAAAACGTGTTGAATTAAAATCGCGTGTGTTAAATCTTGAAGGATTTTAGAAATTTTCACAAAATACAAATAAAAATTCATTGGAATACATAATAAATTGAAAAAGTAATGATCTAGTAAGTTGTAATTTGGTTGTTTAAATATTTTTAACTTTTTTAAAAATTTAAAAATATTAAATTTTATTTAATACCCGTATTTTAGAATATCCGTTAATCTCAACTAGTATTTGCGTAAATTTTAAACGATCGGACCAGGCACGGAAATCCTTAAATTAATCTAAGTATTGATGAAAATTTTCTAATGGAGCATGCATATAGTCAATATCGACTTTTTTTCTGAACTGAAAAAAATGATGAAGGCAGAAATTTTGAATAAAATCAAATGTTCTATGAAAAAACATTTGAAAACAAAATTTCAAAAAAACCACTCGATTGGTACATTTATTACCGCATTGAAAGCATTTAAATAAAAAAAAATGAATATCCAACAAATTTATATTTCAGGAGCGGATGGTCAAGAAAATTGAAAAAATTAATGGACATATTTTTTTTGGTCTTGGAAACATAAAATCTAAAGATAAATCGGGAGGTCAAATGGAAAAACTAGATGATTCGGTCTAGAATATGACCCATGTATTAAAAATTAATTGTTTTAAATAATTTATTTGATCTTTAAATTCTCGACCAGTATTTATTAGATTATTAGAAAAACTATGTAACAACTTGAAGTACATCTTTTTTTAAATCAATTAAAATTATGATTTGTATCCACTTTGAAAGCTACTTGATTTTATTTTGGGGACACTTTGGATTTACTTTAGGAAAAATTTGAGTCCATACTGAAAACTATTTTTTATCATTCTGAAATCACTCTGATTTCATTCTGGACCCACTTTGGATCTATTCAAAATTCACTTTGGTCCACTCTGGATAAAGTCTAGAACCACTCTGGCTCTACTCTGAAATCAAGGCACAAAACCACTCTGGAAACACATTGGATTCAGTATGTTTTCACTATGACTCTGAACCCAGAGTGTTTCCAGAGTGGGTTGAAAGTCTCAAGGGTTATCAAATTTTGAATTCTTGAAATTCGTCAAAAATGACGATCGAACTTGAAATTTTGGTTCAATTTTTGTTGTATGATACCTTGTACCGATCTTAGAAGATTTTGAAATTTTTAGGTTATTTTTTTAAAATATGAATTGTTTACTTTAAAAAACAAAATTTTTTTTGTTTTGGCAACTTTTAATAAAGTAAAGTCACGTAGACACATAAACCTGACTTTAAGATTATATCCGAAAAGTAAAAAAAAATTGAAAATAATTTATTATTTAATATTTCCGCCTCATGCATTTGATTTTTTTTAATGCTGACAATTACAATACTATGTATCTACATCACTTTACTTCATTCAAAAGTGGCAAAAAACGAAAAAAAATTTTTATTTCTTTCTTTGATAGAACTTCGTTACATGATAAAAGAAAACTTTAGATCAAAATTTTTCCAAATCAAAAGGGGACGATTCCAACTATTTGTCGATTTGACATGGAATGACCCATCTATATTTAAGCCGTTTTCTCGTTTTAAAACATTGCTTTGTAGATATTTTTTTGAAGTTCTGTAGTTTTGTCGCTTCAATAATATATTTATGTTTTCATTGCTCAACAGCCGGAAAAGGAGACGTGAAGAATTGACAGCCACATCGAATTCAACAGTAGAAGCAGACGAAGCGGAAGAAGTTATCGAAGAATCCTATCCACAGGATCTGGATGGAGTAGATGATCATTGTGGAGAACAGGAGGAAATGGATATAACAGAAAGTAACATTCCTTTTTATAATAATCATTTAATTAATTTAGGTAATAGTAATAATCTTAATCAAACAGTAACTCGTGAACCGGCGAGTTTTGTGTGTAACTCAAGCCAAGTATATTCTGAGAAATCAGAGGAAAGGAGTAGTCAAGAATCTACGGGTCTTAATGCATCCGAACTTGTTTTATTTGATAAAAGCAATCAAGTTACACATGCAATCATTAAAAGTCAAAATAATTTGAATAATATTAGTATCGCTTATGATAATCAAGTATATTCTGAGCAATCAGAAAAAAGGAGTAGTCAAGAACCTACGGGTGTTGATGAATCCGAACTTGAATTAGTCCATGAAAGCGACAAAACTTCGAATGCATGCAATTTGACTAATAGTAGTTCTAGTAATAATCTTAATATAGTTAATGATAATCGTCAAGTTTATTCTGAGCAATCAGAGAAAAGGAGTAGTCAAGAACCTACGGGTGTTGATGAATCCAAACTTGAATCAGTCAATGAAAGCGACAAGATTTCACGTGCATGCAATTTGACTAATAGTAGTTCGAGTAACCTCAATATAGTTACTAATAATGATCAAGTTTGTTTTGAACAATCAGAAGAATTGATTAGTCAAGAATCTATGGATCTTGATGAATCCAAACTCGATTTATTTCATGATAGCAATACAGTTTCTCATAGTCATAAACAAAGCGAAAGTACCTTAACTGTATCACCTGTAGTTGGTACAATTCTAAGCTATCAGAAAAAGAGAACAGTCCCGATCGAGTAAGTCTAGATAACTCCGAGAGTAGTATATCTGGGATTAATATTAATGATCGTGAAGACTCCGAATAATCAGAGATATCAAGTGATTCTGAGTTTACAGATTCTGATAAATTTGGGCATGACAAAGCCAATGATACTATATTTTCTGAATATTCTTTTTCATCCAGCGTTTCCGATCATGATGATGTTGAATTTGAATCAAATTCTGTTGATAATGATTCGGATAATGATTTGGAACAAGAATCTGAAAAGTCTCCAGAAAATTCATCATCCCCATTGCAAAATTGTGATTCCCATAACGATGCCCAAAATAACACTGAAGCATCATCTTCCGAAAAACCAACAGACATTGAGTCTATTATAAGCGGTTGTCGAATAGTTGAACTCGCTCATTTTATAAAAGAGTTTACAAAGTTAGGTGATTCTAAGAATCATCTACCTAATTGTGCTAGACAAGGGGAAAACTTCCATTGTTTTAGAAAGTTAGATGTCGGCTTAAATACTTTATTGTACTGGAAGTGTCTCGAATGTAAAATGATTGCTACATTTTGGACAAATCCAGTAAAACAAGAAAATAAATTCTATATCAATGAAACTACCACCATAAGCGTTATTGGTTCTGCAAGTTCTTTCGCAGCATTTCAGACTATTTTGGCTGTGTTTAATATACCGTGCATTACAAATAAAACTTACGAAAAACATCGAAGGAAACTAGTTGAACCTCTTCAAAACGTTCTTGCTGAAGAAATGCATAAAAATGCCTTAGAAGAAGCCCAAATCGCCATTAAAAATGGTGATGTTACCCCCGATGGTATTCCTCTCGTAAAAGTTATAACTGATGGCGTCTATGATAAACGAAGTTATAGAGGAGGCAAACATGATTCTCTTGGAGCTTCAGTTGCAGTTATTGGTTGCGCTACTTAGAAAGTTATTGATGTCGAAGTAGTTAATAAATATTGTTATACTTGCCGTGTCCATCAAAACCGTAATTGTGAGCCGCCAGCTCATAAATGCTTCATGAATTACGATAAAAAAAAAGCTCCTCAAGCATGGAACCACATGCGACAGCTATATTATTCAATCGTAGTTTAAAACTTCATGTAATAATTTATTCTGTCATGGTTTCTGATGATGATAGTTCTACGTTAAAAGTAGTGAAAGAATCGAAGCCTTATGAGACGTATAATATTGAAGTAGAGAGAATCAAGTGTTCTTTTCATATATTTCGTTCCGTAGGAACAAAAATTAGAGAAGCCGCCAAAGCTCGAGTTCCGAATCGACGAGTTCCTGCTGCTGTACGCAATAGAATAAAATACAGTGGATTAAAAATTCGTCGGACAATTACAGCGGATATTGAGCGTTTAAGAAAAGATTTTGAATCTGAAAGTCTTTCAAAAGCAGAAAAAGAGAAAATTTTTGAAGAAAATACAGAAGTATTGCGAAAAAATATACTACTTGCTCCTTTACATGTTTTTGGCGACCATGCTCAGTGTCCTACTGAATGGTCGTGTGATAAATCTAAATCAAATCATTTACCCAAAATAAAAGAATATGGTTTATATTCGCGTATTGAAAAAATCATCACTGATCTGAGTCAAAATGCCATACATTTATTACATTTTCTAAATACTAATAAAATTGAGCAATATCATGGAGTGTTAGCAAAATACTTCTCTGGTAAAAGAATTCAATACGGTGGTGCCGATGAATTTCATGACAAAGTTTACATGGGCACTCTTGACCAAATTACTTCCGGTGCTCACTTGTCAACATTCTATAAATTTGTCAAAAAAAGTGTTCCTGAAAGAATTGTAAAATTGGAAAAAGAACGAAATTATCAAAGGTAGATAAATACAAAGTGTCGTGAAATTAACAAACAACAGAAAAAAAATAGGCGTACGTATCATGGTCCTGATAAAGATTATGGTTCCAATGCAGCTCAGCCTGATCTTTGTGAAACAGACCCTGTTAACTATCAGCAATACAAAGAAGATCATCATGACAAGCTCCGTGAACGTCAAAGAAATCGAAATAGTCTTGAAGTTGAAACGAGAAATCATCCATTTGGAGTACAACACGGTTATGAAAAAGACATTGTTGTTAAAAGAGAAAAATTTCACGACTGATTTCCCAGTAACTGCTGTGAACCCTTCGAAACAATCAACTTCGAGTAATGATTTAGTGATCATCGGTGGAGAATAGAATTTCCTACATTGGAGTTGTTTGTACTTTGATGGACACTATGTTGCTATTTATGATAGCTTGAACAGAAGCTTTGACGACTTGTCTGATTTCGAAAAGAAATATCTGTAAGTCCGATATCCACAACAGTTAAAAGGGAAAAAAGTTATTTTGAAATTGGTAACTCAACAGCCTGATGGTAGTACGTGTGGGGTATATGCTGCAGCATTTGCCACATCTATCGCACTGGGTTATAATCCGTGTACCATAAAATATTCTCAAGATAAAATGGCAATGAGGAAGCATTATTATGACTTAATATGTCACAAAAATTAATACAATTTCCTTGCGCTTCCAATAACTAAGCCTTATGACAAGCGATGGAAATTAATAATTGCCATTCGTATCATGAAGTTATATGATAATATATCTTAATTTTATTATTAAGAAATTACATTTCTACAAGACGCTTTAATAGTCTTACTGATGAGTCCTAAATATCGTGTTAAAGACAAAATTGAACGAGTCGTTCAAATACGTATATTATATTCGCATGAAAACTATATACACTTAAAAAATTTACTTGAGGAATTAATCTTCTACATAATGTATTCACAGTACGAATTTATTATTGAACGTAATTGCAAAAGTTCGGTGAAAAATGAGCTTTTGAGTTGTTATTTTTTTTTTAGGCTATCGGACAAAAAAATTCTATATTGATATGAAAAGATAGTTTAAAAAAAAATTCAATATGCTTATAAATCCTGAATAATTTTGTACTCAGTAATTATATTTTTATTTATTATTCTGTGTCGTGAAGAAAAAAGTCCTTAAATGTTATAACTTACAACTTATTACTTATAAGATACGTATTTTTCTATGTTAATTTCTATAACCGAAGGTCTAAGGTAGAAAGTGACAAAAAAAATTTACTTAAAGGTTTGTAATAATTGTCACAATCGGGACGAAACCTTCCTTTAAAGCTCGATTAAAAATAAAATTTGTTATTTCACTTGTATTGTTACGAATAGTTACTACTTCAGATATCAGTGAGGCATTTAAAGCCAGTGTAGATTTAAAAAAAAATTTCAATTACAAAATTACTAAGACAATTCACCCTTTAGGTCATTCTTTCAACTTGTATATTTTGATTCTCCTGAAAATTTGTAATAAGAAACTACTAAAGGACCTCCATGGCTACTTTTTTTTTCGCTTTTGAAAATTAAGAAAAAAATTTTTTTTCCATTCATCATTAGTAATTCTCATTTTAGTCATTAAATCTATTTTTTTATCATTTTAAAGTGGTTTTTTTTTGCAATTATACTCTATTAAAAAGTTTTTTAAATTATTAAATAGTCGATTAATCTGTTTATGAATAATTAAAACGAAATTATTTATTTATTTACGGAATTTTTTAAAAAATTTATACATCTGATCATTATTCAAATTGGAATGTCTATTCTCCTATGTTAATGATTTAGATATTTTCTAGTACAGATCAAATTTTTCTCTTCCCATAATATAGTCACTTGCAGGCGAACATTTTAAAGCAATGCTAGGTAAAGAACTCAGCTCAGATGCCAACTCATATTTTTCGTATACAAATGACTGTTTCGATTATTTATGAACAGAATCAACGACTAATTAATTATTTCAAAAAGCCTATAATTGCGTAATTGCGTAATTGAGAAAAACTACTTGAAAATGATAGAAAGAATAATATTTGATGACTTAAATCAGAATTACTAATGACGAATGGATACAACTAAATTTTCAAAAACTTAAAAAAAACATAGTAGCCATGAAGGTTTCACGACCAAAACCGCTTGAAAACTCGGAGAGTGCATAGTTAAATACACTAGCATCATTCGTCTCGGCGAATTCGGAGCGTAATCTTGAAGATGTGACTTCTGGGTGTTAGAGTCACTTATACTGTCACAAATTGAGCTGATTCATTACGTTTATCGTTGATGATTCATCCGACACCGACATCTACCAATGCCTAGTAGTAGTGTGTCTGGGGGGCCTGGCTCCATCGGTAAAACAGATTTGTGGGTTCGTATCCACACTAAGTTACCCTCAATCGATGTGGATGGGATCTGTTTTGCCGACGCGGTGGTCGGTGACAGTTGAGGTTATGGTCGAGGTTTTTACTGACGTGGATATGGTGGCGCTGGTGGTGAATTCTGCCGCCATTTTCCCGCCATTTTTTTAAATCTATCCGCCATTTGAATCCGTCATCTCGTGGCCGTTATCCGCCATTTTGAGTCTGAAATCCGCCAGTTTGAGCCCGAAATCCGACATCTGGTGGCCGCTATCCGCCATTTTGAGTCTGAAATCCGCCATTTTGAATCTTAATATCCGCCATTTAGAATCTTAATATCCACCATTTTGAGTCTGACTTCCGCCATTTTGAATTGTGAATTCAACATTTTGAAGTTATAAAAAGCATCCTCAACTATTAACCTGCTTTAGGATTGCCATTACAGATCAATAGTTCAGGATTACGCATTTGGAGTATGATGTATCCATGTTTTATATATTCAAAAGGAAGTTAGACAACTACTTGCGAGAAGGATTTTACGCAGCACCATCTGGTGATAGCTTTCATTACTTCTAACCGCGTAGTAGATGACGTCATCCGACAGGTCTGAACCTGTTCAAGGTCACGGTAATTGCGTAGTTCTCTTTGTTCTATTCCTAACTGCGCAGTAGATGACGTCATCAAACCGGTTTTGATGTAGAGAAGTGGGAGTAACTGCACAGTATTTTCTGTATTTTCTGTTTTATATATAAGCAGCTCGCCGAGAGCGTATTTCACAAAAACGAAGTACACGTCTCCAGTGAAGTACCAGTTTGTCGGTAGGTAGTAGTGAAGTACGAGTTCTTGGTGATATACATCTTCTACCTATCAGTATTACTAATTGTAAGTATTCATTTACTGTCTAATTAAAATATTTATTGAATGAAGGATCATTTAATCAATTAATCAATCACTTTAATTAATTAAAAAATTTTTACAGCTATCAATCATGGATCTCACCAAGATAAATGAGGTTAATTGTCTTACTGGGCTTCTTCCTGTTAAGAAAATGATTGAGTTAGAGTTTAATCGAGAATATAAGATTAATGGCATCAAAGCTATTACAACTCAGTATGGGACTAGGATTGTTGTCAATATAAACGATGAATTTAACATTTATCTACTATCTAGAACTATTCAGCATCTAAAGGATGATAACTTCATGAAGAGTTTGAATGAATTAATAGATTCAAACTATCTCTTTCTACGTTTCCATGGTGGAAAATATAATAAATTTGAATTTATTAATTCTAGTCTTGATGTAAAAATGACCAGTGGAATTATTTAATCAATAAATATTATATTTCAATATAAATAATTCATTGTTTTTTATTTATAATTTCTCACATTTTTAATTTAAGATTAATATTTATAATTAAAATTTTATAAGTTCTACTAAAACTTAATTTTTTAAGTTACTCATCTTTATAATAGTTTGAATTTCGCGCGCCTTGTACCAGAGCCATCTGATATTAGTATATTCTTAGCGCGGGAATGTGAGTGGTTCAAACAACCTTAACCACCACGATCTTTTATCACGCCACCTTTAGGAGAGTAGTGAAAGATGTTTTCCAATAGTAAAAGCATGTTATCGCTGTTGAACTATACCCCCCACTCCTCAACCATATACCTACGCCTGGCGCGTCTCAAACTTTATATTAGTTGTTGGATAAAAATGGCTGTAATGAACATCTCTCAATTATTTGGAATTATTTTTCATTTTTATATTTAAATAAATCAAAATTTAATACAATGAAAACTCATTAAATATTTTTAATGTTTGTTAAAATAATATTAATAATAATTTAGTAACAATAAACGCAGTGGAATTGAACACACTCATATAAAGATAATATAAATTCTTTAATCATACTTTAAATCTTAAGTATCTTAAGAAGATTATAAAATACTACACTTGTTTCAAAATATATATATATTAATATTAATAATAATAATTTAGTAATAATAAACGATGTGGAATTAGACATACTCATTTAAAGATAATGTAAATTCTTTAATCTTATCTATGCTAAACTTATTAATTGATTTTTAATAATAATAATAATAATAATTTTTAACGATACTTAAGAAGATTATAAAATACTACACATGTTTCAAAATATATATTTTGTCATAATTTCAATGTTCTCCATGATCAATCTATTCATCCATTATTTCTGTTAACAGCAAATCTGAAAAATGGTTTTGCAGTGAATTTCCTGTAAAAATATAATCGTATGTGTTAGGATAATCATGATTCCACATCTTGAACCACCAGCAGAATTTTTCTGAGATGACTGTCAGAATTGTCGGTTGATTGGCAATTGTCATGATCATGTTTTCAATCCCATCTTCATGATCCATGATTGAAAATATTCTCCTTTCTACTTCTTCAGCAATTTAAATAGGTGACAATTGATCACCCCATACTTTTGGGTAAATTGCATCATACTGTAATACATCTTCAGAGGAAACGATATGTTTAACTCGGTTTTGATCAAAAAATTCCTCATCATCAACATTAATGTTCGATAAATTAAAACTTAAAATTTCTAAGTTTCGTCGTTGTTGATTAATAACATATAATTATACAACTCGGGAAACCTTTGAACTATCAAATTTCCACTAAAAGAATAATTCTTCGGGTTAATCATTTAATCATTTTCTCTAACAAAACACCAGCATCGTTCAACATCAAGTATAAGCAGTTTTGTTTTTGTATCTCCTATAATAAATTCTGCATCACTAAACATACAATTATCTTGCTGCAATAAATTGATTTTGCATCTGATTTCATCAAATATTTGATGTTTTGAATAATTCAAATACCATTCTTCTGGTATAACCATCTCGTAACTCAAT